AAGCCCCCCGAATATAAGCCCACCCCTACATAAGCCCACTCGTATATAAGCCCATCACACTATAATACAGGTAAATTACACAAAAAACCACTACATTGCATTAAATTTCAACTAAGACTACGTCTACGGTATGTATTTATTTAAACAAAACACTTGACAGTTCGTCCCGATTTTGCCTCAAGGAGTCACGGACATATTTTTTGTGCAGTTTCGGTCCGTAAATATAGTACGTGTTTTCTTACTATTAACCTAAGATGTGGTCCGTGTATAAGCCCCCCGTATATAAGCCCCCCCCCCCATGTATAAGCCCATCAAAAAAGGCTTATGAAATTATATAAGCCCAGGGCTTATATTCGGAAGTTTACGGTATCACGGGGAGAAGTTGCTACATTTGGGAATTTTACTCTGATGCTGCGTATAAAAGGCGCGAGTGTCTTAAGGTAAAAACAAAAAATGCAATACATTTCATAGTAAATATCGGATTTTAGAAAGTTTATTATTCGAAGGATATTCATGTAAACGTCTTCAAACTTTGTATACTTACTAATTTTGAGGTGATCTTTTTAGTGATTTGGTTCATTTCTTAATTTGGGCACTTTTTAACACTCGTCCCCGCGGCTGGATAGCTTTGGACTGAAACTATGAAATAATGAAAATTGACCACAAACATTGATTCAACTTGCTTCAAATAAATCGATGATGCTGTAAAACCGAATTGGTTAAAGCAGCCAACAAATTGGTTTTCTCAGATACAACTTGCTGGCTGTTTTAAAAAAAATTGTTTCTGAAGTTGCTCAATTTTATGCGTTGCAACGTTGCCGCGGTCGTTGCGAAAAGTATAGAATCTGATCCTGCTTTGTGCAATGCTAGCTTGTTGCAACAAAAATAGTGCGAGACTTGATAATGTGCGTTATCACACCTTCAAAAACTCATTATAATAATTCATGAAGCAATTATCCAATCTTGAGTAAGAAATTAGTCACGTGCATATACGTCTTTATACCAGCTAAAGAACACTTTAACAAAAGACCATTGTTATGCAAACTATATAAAGATTTTTATGTAAAGATTTTTATATAAAGATTTGACTTATTATGCAAACGTTTTTGAAGCCATTTAAAAACTCACAGGTCGTGTTTTATTAACACCGCGGAAAAACGTCTGCGCATGCGTCAACCTTACCTGTAATAGTATAGCGAACTTGATGAGAAGCTGTTCCGAACGTTTCCGAAGGCTCAAAATGGCGGTAAAAAGGAGTGACTTCATTGTGCGTCGTTACAGCCAGATTTCGAGCGCAAAAATAAACATGTCATTCTAAAAACTAGGAATAAATACAGCCAGAAGGTTGTATCGTACAAGAACATGAACTAAAGGTGAATGTTGACAAATTTATCGTCTGAAACATTTTGTTTATCAACGACAATTTCCGAATTTTCTTTTGAGATACATTTCTTTAAAAAAAACTGTGTCGCCAAATATAAAAAAATTTCGTGTTCACAATAATTAAACTTTAGGATTTATTCTACAATTTGAGTGGGGTAAGAAGCTTAACTTTTCGAGAGTTTTCTTAACTTTTTAGTTTGAATTTTTGTTTTGAATAATTTTGCAAAAATTTTCGAAGTCGTGTCCATTAAAATCAACAATTTTTTACATGAATTATATTTCATTCCATACTTTAAATGCCAGGACGCTTTCAATTGATCTAGTCTACCCATTTGCTATATTTTCTCGTTTGTTTTACTAATTTTTGACCAATTAATAAGCATGTTTTTGTTTTAGAAGACTTAGGAATTGATATTCAAATTCCCCGCCATATTTTCATAATTTGGTGCATGCGCAGACGTTTTTCCGCGGTGTTTGTTTTATTAGGTCTAAAAGCCACTCGCTCGTGGCTTTAAACCTAATAAAACACTCCTGCTCTTTTTTTAAATAGTACATAAAAGCACTCGATTTGTTTTCTATTTCTTAAATAATTAAGTTCAAACTGTTTTTTTGAAATAAATTAATAAAATGCGTGAAAGGACCAACCACGGACGGATTATATCCTATTAAAAAACTCATTAATAACTCATGAGGAAATCAAAGAGACAAAGGAAATCACTACCGTGTCGGTAGTTTTAAATGTGATAAAAAATCATGTCATTTACATAAACTTTAGCTGATTTTCTCGGCTTAGACAACGTTTATTTTTAAGATTACTTCGCCAATGAACTCATCAGACGGGTCGGTTTTTAAGCCATTTAAAGTAACTGCGCTCTCGTGTTTTACATCTGATAAAGCACTCTTGTTTTAAATAGTTTCGCGTTTTAAATAGTACTTCGAACAATTTGAAGCAGTCGAACACCTTTGCTTCGACTTACAACTCGTTGAGAAACGTTAATATCGTATCCATGATAATAGACAGCTTAAGCAACCACAATTTTGACAACACGTGGTGGCGACAGTCGTTCTTGTTTGAAATTACGAACGTGAAACTACATTAACTGCCGTTGTTGATTTCAAGCAAGAATTGCTGACGCCATCATTTGCCATCTACATGTATATACCGGTTCGATTGACCTCTGGTGAAAAACGTCGCTCGATTAAGGTCCTTATATTGCTTCAAAGGTTAATATCGTCTACAATAAAGGCGCAACGTCTAAAACAGGACGACAAACCAGTCAGCTGAACAAAAATCAGCTGAACAAAAATCAATTTCACTCAGTCAGGTCAGTCAGCTTATTGTTGTTTAACGCCGTCTGTTACCAGCCTCTTCCACAGCCCCTCATTCCTCATGGGAAGGTCACAACTTTCACAGGGCCTGCAGAATCTTGACATCATACACTGTTGTTTACGTCATAGCCTACGCCATAATATGTCAGCAATTGTTTTTAAGCAATTTTGAAAGTAAAGTTTATTATACTTCCAACTACTAAATATGACATGAACAATAGCATTATCTAATTAGCATTATTAAATGTGGGTCAAAGTTCATGTTTTCTTGCATCTCATTGGACAAGAGCGTATCACGTGAAAGTTACGAAACACGACTGTCTCCTGGCAACAGCTCTGAGCGGTAGACATTACTTTTGTTCACCGGTGAGTAATAAAATCGTCGAGCTATCGAGCAAAAATTTGGAAATTTCATTTTATGTGACACTTGGTATATAATGAAATACTTATTGCCTGGGACATTCGAGAAACAGCACTGATGTTTGGTGGAGCTTATTCGCCTCGGGAAACATCGGACACTCTCGGGTCCACAAAACATACTGTTTTCCGAATGTCCCAGTCAATAACTGTTAATAAACCAATCAAAAAGATACATTTGTCCATACTGTATAAAAAAATACTTTGTCTGATAGACCAATCAGGTGAAAAGCCGGATTTTATACTTTCTTATATGTGGTCAAATGCGGGTGACCAGGCTGGCTTTTCTACTAAAGTAAAGTGCGTTAAAAGAAAAAAAATATCGGCCATATTGAATCGTCATTGTCACCATAGTAACAGTGGTGATGTCATGTTTGATCGTTCCTCTATATACGGTGCACAATTTGTTTTGTAGCAAGCAACATGCATCTCTTCAATGAGTTGATCTAATTTATGCATTTTCCATCTTTTTTAAAAAAATATAGGAAGCCACATTAAACCATCAATGTTCCATTTTATGCAGGAGTCACAAGTATTTTGTAAAACGGACCCCAAAATGTCATCCCTATAGGAAATATGCTGTATATCTTCCACAAAGCATCGTCAGCATCAAGGTCAAAAAACCTCATAACAATATCATTGCATTGCACCGAATTCTTCCCACCCATACTAAGCAGAGACTCAGGACCGCGTATTTCAGCCCAAATTCTTATTTTCTTATTAGCCTCAATATGAACTGGCTCTGGTAGGAAGACATTGAACGTTGATATTCCATCTTCCCTCAAATGTGAACGAAACCTGCCTTGAAAATTTTCCGCGCCATCCATATTGAACACGACATCATAATCACTACCATTAGCGTCACCAAAGAGCTGCACACCATGAAATCGCACAGGTTTGTTGACGGTGAAAACGATTATATCGACTTCTTGGCCATGACCCCACAAGGTCTCTTCTTCTGAATCACGAAAATCAAACCTTGTAAAACTTAGCAAACCTGCCCGTTGTCTCGGAGCATGCGTTGTCCATTTTAAATTAGGTCCATGAGTTCCATCAAACCTTTGTAAAATACCAGCACATTCTTCTGTCGTTAGCAACCCCGATGTTGAAACATGTTGGAAAAAATCTTCTCTTGACATGGCAAGAAAACGAATATTGTAGATAGCATCTCCAAGCATTCCTCTTCTATTTTCACCAGTTTGATCTAAACCGTTCTTTAAGCACTGCTTTCCACTCCACCTGAAAACAACTTGGAGCATTTCCAGCTCATCCCCTGTCAAAGTTTCTCGGCTTAACAACTCATTTAAAGTTTCAAGTGAAATTTCGTTAAATGCTTCCGAACTAGCAAATATCTTTGTTTCGTTATCCACCAAATCCCAGCATTTTAATCTCAGATCATTTTCGTCAACCGCTTGTTCAAGAATTGTTAGGACAGCAACGACATTAATATGGGTTTCAAATAATGTGTGTTGAAGAACATCACGACATCTCTTCGACAATGATGGAATTAGATATTTCTTCGATAAATACATCACCTATGTAATACATGGCAAATGTTAAATGATTCGTTATATTGTCCAAGTCGAAGCTACTAATTCCGCCCAGTTATTTACACTCAGGGTAAAGGTTATCCCAGGCATCATTTGTGGTTATTTTGGACGGGTTATCGTCATCAGTGATCTCAAACAGTTTGGAGTGGAATGAGCTTCATTTAAAAAAATATGGAAAAATCGTTTGATGTAAAAAGCCGTGAAGCGATGATGGAAGGGATATTTTTCACATTTACTACCGAGATATACAATGCGAAATCGTTCAATAAAAGACATAGCTAGAAGAATTACAAAGTAAATTTGCTTTAACTGTCTATGTATTTATTGCTATAAAAATACGTCTTAGGCCCGGTTTAGACGGCGAACTTTTCATGCGCCGAATCTAATGCAAGGATTAAGTGCGACGCTGGAGCGGCGTCTAAATCAATTAAGTTCGGCAGGTTTTGATTAAAGTTCGACACGACTCGAAGATGCGACAAGACAAGTCGTATATGCGACACAGGTTCGACATTGATTTAGACGCCGTGCTTTTCATGCGCCGAACCTAATGCATACTTATATATTTTTTAACATTATAATATGATTATCATATATTTGCATTTTAAATATGTCCAATATAGTGTCCTCGCAATTCGGTACGGCACAATTAAGTTCGACGTCTAAATCAGTTTCCAATATTTTGCCGTACCTACGGCAATTAGATTCGGCGCATGAAAAGTTCTCCGTCTAAACTGGGCCTTATACATTTTGTATCCATCTAATTCCAGTGTTGCTGCAAGTTTCTTAAGTTACCCTATATGCCGTCAAGTACAGCGAGGTAGCACACTTCTCTTGACACTGCTTGCATTTCTCCAGAGATTAATCTTGACCAGCTATTTGTGCAATTTATATACTCTTGCAAATCTCAGCTTGTATCGGTTTTGCGCTAATTGTGCTAATGTGATCACACCAATTTGACTTTACCTCAAATAAGGAATGTTTCAAACGTCGCACTTCTCATGGATATAAGTTATCAGGCGGTTATTTAATTACAGAATACGATCACAATTTAGAACGGTTACAAAATTCTTTGGAGATTGAGTCTTTTGGGTAAATACAACTTTCAAACATTCACCTATGCCAGTGAAATAATTATTGAAAGTCCCCCTCCCACTTTTGGTTTTATGCACTGTTTTTTTTTTGGGGGTTGCTCATGACGCGGTTAGCTATTTACAGGGGACAAATAACTTTTGGGTAATAAAGTATGTTACCATTGTATATATGGAATATTTTTCTTTGCCCCGTTCAATTTCACATAATGCTTTATTTTTAAATGACATTACAGTACGACTTAGCTCTCGTTTTACAGCAAGAACACGAGAGGCTACAGATTTCAGAGAGGCCACTACTTTTCAACATACAATAGGCCACAATAGGTTCAAATCGTAGGCATCTCATCCTTTTCAGGATCTGTGGTGTGAATGCAGATTTATTCATTTTGAAAAAAAGAAAAGTAGAAGGCTTAAAAGAGCTTATAGAGAAGGTACTTATTAAATAAGCAACACTTGCATGGGGGAGGGGGGGGGGGACAAAAGTTTAGTATCCACAGATACTAAACTTTGTTCTGTGTCCCTTCAAACTGAAACATCATGGAAATACTGTAGATAGCCTGAATTTCTGTTTTGCATCACTGCATTGCCCAGTACTACTAAATGAATTGACATGTGATAAAAATGTTGTGTGGATGTACTGTACTTAGTTATAGGTGAGTCACCATGGTAAACCAATGTAAATATTGAAAAGCTGACCCACCATTATTAATCAATATGTCTGAGCAACTACACACTTGAGCGCACATTTGTCAAAGACAAGCAAAATTTGTGTTACTTGGAAATTTTCATCTACAAATAAATCCCTTTACAAAAATAACTTTACAAAAATAACAATTATCATAAAGTAAACTGAATAGAAAAACTAAATTTTTCAAAATTATTGATGAACCTGGTATTCTTTGGTTATATCACTGGTATTCTGTACTGATTTTAGCATTTAACTTTTCACTAAATTAAGTTAGCAATATCCTGCAGTATTATCACACAATATGGCACAACAAATCCTGGTACAATTTGATAAACCATTCCTTACTTACCTCTGCACTGATATTCTGTGGTACATTAAATTTTTTTCCACAGAATATCCATTTAAAAAAAATATTTAAGTCTATGAAATCTTGCCCCAAAAAATATATCGATAGATTATGCTAAAAAATATTAACAAACCATATTATAATACATTAGACAAAAGATATGGAACAGTCATGTACATTTTTGCGGTATTCTGTGGTACATACACTTGTATGAAGCCAGTTAGAACACAAAATCCTTGCTTGGTTGCTTTACTTGATTCTATTCACAAATTTATCTATATTATAAATTACCCAACAACCCAATAATCGTTAATTAAAGTACTTCGATCAACTATTAAAAGTTACACTCACTGTGTGTTTGCTACAGCATCTTTCTGGTTGAGAAAATGCCCCACCAGCAACCAGTTCTTGTAACTGTTTAAGTATTGTTGGATGGCAAAGCTTATAATAAATAAATAAATAAATCTATTTGTTGATGGCACCTTACTTGCCTATAATGCTGGTGCCCTATAGTTGGACTATATATTAGCTTTTATTTTTTTCAAAGTCTAATCCCTACCTATATGGTCCCCCCACAGCTGTGGTGTACAGAATATCCAGTGCTGAAGCTGCCTGTATGGGCCCAAGCTTTCAAGAGGCCCATGATTTTCACTTTCTACTTTCCTTAAGGATGAGATAATATTAATATACTGTAAGTTCCTGGGTTTTCATGAATTTCACTGTACCGCCTATGATGCCAACCACTCAGAACCGCCTGAGAGAATAACAAGATCGGGTGATCCCGACTGTTTGCTATTTCAAACATCTAAATGCAAGACTGCAACATTCCAGCAGTCCCAACTAACAAGGTCCACAAGGGTGTGGAATATATTACCAAGAAACTTGACGGGAAAAATACCACCTTCGGACTAAATTTACTTGTATTATTTAGCAATCAGCTCTAGCAAACATTTACAATGCGATGGACTCACAAATATGGAAATCAGTATGTGTGACTTGTAATAAATCCTGTAGCTTGTCCTGTTCAAATTTGTGTTGTTTTTAACTATTAAGTCAAATAATGTTTGTTTGTGTTGTAAAGGGTTGCTGTAATTGGAGAAAGCTGTAGCATATACCTTGCTATGTGTGCATATTGTTTATGTATAAATAATTATATATACTAAATATTAAGTAATATATGGTGTACAGTAATTACATAAATAATATTTGGCAAAGCTTAATAAATATATAAATTTAACTGTGCAATGTTCAACACTCATTATGTACTCGGACAGTCTCCATAATTACTGGATATTTCCACTGAACTTCTCAATAAATTTCAAAATGTTGTCAGTAATTGCAATTAGTTGTTAGGCTATGGAGTTTAAGTATAAACACAAGCATGGGCGTACCGGAAGGAAAAAATTTGGGGGGCAGAAATAAATTTGCCCGACTTTTCCGGATTGTGCCCGACCACTACCGAAAAACCGAACCCCCCCACCCCGTCGTCAAAAAAATTTCGGTCAGTGTACCTTTTTAGGGGTCAAAAAATTTTTCGGACACACCAAAATTTTTCGAACATCACACAAATTTTCGAAACATCACAAAATGACCATAAAATTGACAGAATTTGTCCCATTTATTTTTATAATAAACCAAAAATTGCCCGACTGTTGAGCGAATATTGCCCGACTGCCTAACAAACTGGGGGGGCTGCCGGCCCCCCTGCCCCCCCCTCCCCCCCGCCCGGTACGCCCATGAACACAAGTCAGGCAAATAATGTAAAACATTAATAAAGGAACAAGAGGAGTGTAAACGTCAACAATTATCATCCCATCCTGATTATCTAGTCCGGGCCATTCCATTTACAGGCTTAACCCCTCAGAAACTACTTTGGGGTCACCCTTCAGAAAAATTTGTCCACATGGGGGGGGGGGGGTTGTGTGGACATTAAATGTAATGGCCTTCCCGAGAACTGTCCAAACAACAATTAATAACCTCTGCAGAGGAGACTTTACTTAGCCTACAGGCCCCGTACCTGGTAATTCGCCACTGCCCATAACATAGCTGCGTCATGGCAGTAGCCTGTATTTGCACCCCTCCAACCACGCCTCAATTTGAAGTGGTTGAAGTGGCCAATATATATAAACTTCCTACCTTTAATGCAACTGACCATGTCATTGTACTATCGTCTGTGTACAAGAATCGGAGAAATTCTTGCAAACTTTCTTCATCTGTATCAGGTAGATGTATGTCTGAGCCCTTCTCTGCCATATCACCATAAAACATTGCATAAAATACGGCACTGCTTGTACCAAGTACGTATTTATGAGCGTGAAATACACGGCTTGAATCTGCACATGTCAACGTGATATCGCTCATAAATATGTTGTCAAACATATGTGTATTTCTTTCTAACACTGTGTTTTTACTTGACTGCCAATCGTAGTTGTTTTCGGAAGCCATGAGTGGAAATAATTTGCAAGAAAGATCGACACTTCTGGTGACTTCTTTTGAATTGGAATCAATTTTTAGCCGGATTGGCGATTACCGATTACTTGGTATCGACACAAAATAGAGAAGGGCAGAAGCTTCACTCGAGTCGGAACCTTTGAAGTTTTTGTGCCGGCACATGTTTACTTCCGGATCCTGGCCGCCATCACAGATGAGGTAGCAATCTCGTTCCCCGAGCCTGCGATCCTCGGGAAGGAATCGAAGGCTCTGGGATAATCCGTTACCGGAAGCCAAGAATCCTGGCTAAGATTGAACTACGCATTCCATTTCAATGGCCAATCAGATTCCTCCCTGAAACGGATTATCCCAGAGCCTCGCGTTCCTTCCCGAGGATCGCAGGCTCGGGGAACGAGATTGATGAGGTAGATATCTACCAGCCTAGACCTCTGAGCCTAGACCTAGGCCTTCTATTTTTATTGATATTTTTTTAATATTCAGCGCTTTTTCACATGAAAAGACTGGGACTAGGTGATTTGGGGGCGGGGCGGAGGAAGGATACAAGCCTGACGCAAGCGAAAAAATAGAAGGCCTAGTCACAGTGGATTTCCCAACAACAAGGCCAAAACTGCCCTGAAACTGCCCTGATTGCGAAATGCCCAATTGTTGCGTTCTCAAACAGAATTATTTGCGACTTAACAGCGAATTTAAACCGATACAGGTAAAATAAACTCATTTATAGTATAACTTACTATTTTTATTTGTATACACGTCTAGAAAATCGGGGTTTTTATCATAAAGTTTGAAGCAACACTATTATTATGTTGACAAGGTGAAGCGAAAGCACAAAATAATAATTCTTTTATTCTAAAGACAATCTACTGTTTTGCTATGAATAACTATATTTGGGAATGAGGAATTTGAAATTATTGTTCAAATATTACGGATATACCATTTGTAAACAATGTACGTTTTTATATACAGTACTGTACGGGCTAATAATATATGTATCCGTTTTATTTAATAAATTATAATTGTATATGTGTTTGTATATTTTACAAACACAAGACTGCTTCTTGCCAAAATTGAGAAAATATATATTAATGTAGTTGTGTATAAGACAAAATTTCATGAAAGATTCTACTTTTGGTATATATTTTGACTCATTTTGTGCTTTCGCTACACCTTGTCAAGTATAAAATGTCAACATATTAAATAATAGTGTTGCTTCGAACTTTATGATAAAAACCCCGATTTTCTAGGCGTGTATACAAATAAAAATAGTAAGTTTATACTATAAATGAGTTTATTTTACCTGTATCGGTTTAAATTCGCCGTTAAGTTGCAAGTAATTCTGTTTGAGAACGCAATAATTGGGCATTTCGCAACCAGGGCAGTTTCAGGGCAGTTTTGGCCATGTTGTTGGGAAATCAACTAGGCCTTCTAGGCTTGGTTCCTCCGCCCCGCCCCCAAATCACCTAGTCCCAGTCTTTTCATGTGAAAAAGCACTAAATATGAAAAAATATAAATAAGACTAGAAGGCCTAGGTCTAGGCTGGATATCTACCTCATCTGTGCCGCTAGCCTCCTCCGCAGGCAACTCTGTGGGGGCCTATAATAGGTAAAAACTTACCAAAAGTACTCTTTATTAACTTCATATTCAATAAATTTGCATTGCAAACTCGTATAGGTGAAGGCTATTTCAGATACGGTAGAGCACCTGCTCCCCAGGCCTTTACCGGCGCGGCCGCGAAATTCAATATGGCGCCAAGCTATGGAGTGGAGTTTAAATGGAGTTTATATTCTATATTTTCTATTGTTGTTTTTTGATCTTTTTATTCTTTTTGGTTGGTAGAACTTATATTCTGAAATGCCAGGTATCTTATTCTTTATCTGATTAATCTGAAAAAAGATTTTATGACAGAAT